TCCAACAGCAGCACCATTCTGAAACAGAAGTGCCGAGACAGAGGAAAAATGTGGTGGAGGAGATTGAGCGAATGAAGAAAAACCGCGAGGAACGACGTCAGAGACAGGAGACAATGAAAGAAGAGAAGGAATTTCTCATAATCGTGAATCAGGGGAACCCAAACTGGGAGTTCCAGGAAATGATCAGGAAATACCGTAGCAGTACTGAATTCCGTCCACTGCGAGAGTTAGATCCCGTTGAGGATCACCAGATTACAGTTTGCATCAGAAAGAGGCCGCTCAACAAGAAAGAGGTAACCAGGAAAGAGGTGGATGTCGTCTCGGTGCCGAGTAAAGACGAGATTGTTGTGCATGAGCCCAAACGCAAATTGAACCTCACAAAGTTCTTAGAGAACCAACGATTCACATTTGACTACGCTTTTGACGAGACTTGTTCCAATGACTTGGTCTACAAATACACAGCAAAGCCTCTAGTTCAAACAATCTTAGAGGGCGGGATGGCAACATGTTTTGCATATGGGCAGACAGGAAGTGGCAAGACTCATACAATGGGTGGTGACTTCCGGGGTAAGAGACAGGTCTGCAAGAAAGGAATCTACGCCATGGCCGCTGAGGATGTCTTCAATTTCCTCAAATTGCCCGAATATAAGGACCTGGACCTGAGGGTATTCGCAAGCTTCTTTGAGATCTACAACAGTGATGTCTCCGATCTCTTGGCCAACAAAGCCAAACTGCGTATCCTTGAAGACGGCAGGCATCAAGTTCAGATTGTGGGGCTGACTGAAAGAGTAGTCAACTCAGTGGATGAAGTCATTAAAATCATAGAGCGTGGTAACACTGTAAGGGCTTCAGGGAAGACATCGGCGAACTGCCATTCGTCACGGTCCCATGCAGTATTCCAGATTGTGCTCCGGACACATAACACCAATCGCATTCACGGCTTGTTCTCATTGATCGATCTAGCGGGCAACGAGAGGGCAGCAGACAGGACTACTGCGAACAGGCAGACAAGACTGGAAGCGGCGGCGATTAACAAGTCACTTCTGGCTCTAAAGGAGTGTATCAGGGCGTTGGGCAGACAAGCTGCTCATGTCCCATTTCGGGGCAGCAAGATCACTCAAGTGCTCCGAGACTCCTTCATCGGGGAG